GCTAGAAGGTAAAGGTGGTTTTAACAGAAGCACAATGTTGTTATTACAGAATATCACTACTCTCTAAATTCATCATCCACTCAACAAAGGTCCAAGTGTCTCCCAAACACCTTAACTTTTGAAAGGAGTGATTCTTGGGCCAAACGCTGATTGACTGCATTTTGTTCAGAGCCTGCAATCTCGGGGTGCTACTTAAAAGCGATCAGGGGACGGCATGCAGTCTTCACTTTCATGGACAGCATCTGAGGTTTTAGACCCAGCAAGGGACTCCGTCCCACTGGAGGATCACATTTGGGGCTGCTGTCACGCCGGGCCCACGTACAGCAGAGCCAGGCGCACATCCGTGCACTCAGGAAGGGTCAGGGAGCCGGACAGGGAGCCACTCCAAGGAACTGGGATGAGCCAGTCTGCTTATCTCAAAGATCACCTTAACGGGCGTGCCGAAAAGGGCTGCCACCCTAGCTCCAGGCGGGGCCCGCGCGCACGCCGTCTCCACTTGGCCGAGTCAGAAGATACTTTCTCCTGATAAGTCTGCACTTCCCCACGTCTCCTCTGGACAGCAGGCAGGCCAAGAGGGCCTGCCTGACGGGCCTCACTCTCGGGGGACACCCCAAGACGCCCCCAGACGGCCACGGGGCCCAGGGGTGCAGGCAGAGATGCACCTGCTGAGCCCCGGGCACTCCCAGTACCAAGGGCGAGGACCTCCCACCTCTGCCACTTCTCCTTGGCCACCTTCCTTCCATCTCGCCTCTAGGATGGAGAAAGGTCTGGAAAGAAATCACTGCCCCCCGCCAGAAACTAGACAGACATCTTTCTCCCAGCAGCTCCCTCAACTGCCAACGGATGGCATATTCATTTGTACATTTTCACATGGCCGCTCCACCCCACCCTGCAGGCCTGGATGGTTAACTGGTCACTGCTGTCACTCCAGACAGAGCCTGGGGGCAGGGGATGGGGGGCCGCGGGGGCACTGGGAGCCACTTCCTACCACATCTCCTTCCCAGAAGTTTTAACCGAACAAATTCATAGCATGAAGAGGAAAATCACTGTTAATTATGGAACAATCAGGAAGCCAGTTCAGTCCTAACCCAGGGACACTGGGGACGCCTGGTGGTTGGGGGCAGGGTGGGGGGAACGTGGTTCCCAACTGCCAACCCAGAAGCTCTGGTCCCAGGCTCACCACACAAGACACGGGGTCCGGTGGAGGCTTCTGGCCACCCTCCCGGCCCCACCCACCCCTCCCCCACCAGCAGAAAATGAACCCAGAGGGAAGGGTGGGAGGCCAGGGCCTGTCCATGCTCAGTGTGGGAGAGGCAGGCTCCGTCTAGAAGCACAGAGGATGGATGAGAAAACCATTGATCTTTGCAATGCATTATTGATTCTGCTATGCGCTGGCACCAGCGGATGGCCTCCCCCCCTCTCTCAGAGCCAGACATCAGCGAGGACTCCCGAGCCCAGCCTAGACATCCCCGACTGGTGTGGGGAAGCGGAGGAGATGAAACCCGCCTTGCATAACCCACACGGAACAGATCGCAAGTAAATGATGTCATTGAGGTCAGCTCCCAGCCCCCCAGACCCACTGGGCGGCTGTGCAGGGTGGGGCTGCACCCCACTCCTCCGCCCGGGTGGGTATGCCACCTGCCAGGACCCTGAGGAAGGCTGCCTGAGCCCCGCCCCTCCCCACCCTCGTTACCAGTGGAGGGGTTCTCTGCAAGCCTGCACTTTCCAGCAACCACAGGGAGCCGGTTCCACTCCCGTGGCAGCTCGTGGTCCTGGAACACGGTGCGTGAGTGGACCCGGGCAGAGCTGCATCTTGCGCCAGCAATTCAGTTTTCTTTCTTTCTTTGGTTTACCTGCTGGTTGCACTACAAACACTGTTGTTTCTTTAAACTTCTGAAGATCTGGCCTCTTCGGGGCACAGTCCTTGTCCACAGAATGGCCCCAGTGTGTCCCTCACCATCCCCATTCCTCCTGCAGGTTTTACTCCTGGTAAGACCCGGTACCCAGAGTACTCAGAGCACGCCTGCTTTATTCTTGCAGACGATGTGCGCAGACACCAGCGGCTCAAGGGACAATCGGGGCATTATCCCTGCCAGAATCCCGGGCCCAGAGCTGGCCGAGGCAGTCTGTTTCTGGGACACAGTAAGCATTCCCAGAGAAAGGTGCCCAGGCGGCCAGAAGGCAGGCCCCAGGCCTGGGGCAGATATAAGATGACAGGCCACGGATGTCACTTCACCTCTTGAAAAGGAAACTTCCGCTCCGTTGTGCCTGGTGGACTTGAACAGACTCACAAGGAGGGGGTGGCCGGGGGGAGGGCAGCCCCTTGGCCACAGTCCCCAGGTCCTGGATGTGCTGAACACAAGGGGAGGTTTCCAAGTCAGAACCAGAACAACTTCACATGGCTGACGCCCCGAAGAGCAGGGCCCAGCTACGGACAACAGGCCTCACTGTCGGTGAACTGCCCGCCTATACGGACCCCCACGCACCGCACCTCCCAGTACGAAATCAAATAAACGAAAAGGACCACCGCGACCCAAGTCCCCTCTCCACGCTGGCACTGGCGACACCGCAGCGGATTCGGCCTCCTGCAGCTCGCCAGGCGGCTGCAACAGGTGCAGCCCCAAGCTCAGGCTGCTGACGCTCCCTGGCTGCTCTGGAACCCCGGAGCCAGAGCCCTAGAGGAAGCCGAGGCCTGCAGCGCTCACCAGCCGGCCCGACCTGCCCCACCTGTCTGAGCGCGCGGCTCCGGGTCCAGCCCCCGGGGACCGCGGCCTCCGCGACAGAAACAGAAGCCGCGTGCGCCGGCGCGGGGCCCGAGTGGCCGGAGTGGGGCGCGGGCCGGGCGGGCAGGAGCCGCGGGCCGGGCCGAACGCGCCGCCCCCGCTCCAGGGCCACGCGCCCGGGGCCGGGAGGGCGCCGCGAAGGGGAGGGGGCCTGGGGGGCCAGGGAGGGGCTCCGGGAGGGGTCCGGGGCGGAGCCAGGGAGCTCCGGGAAGGGGACTCCCGGAGGGGCCGGGGGCTCTGGCGGGGGCTCCGGGAGGGGGCTCCGGAGCCGGGGCCGGGGCGGGCGCCGCCGACCCCCCGCACCTGCCCGGCCCGCGCCCCCCTCCGCCCGCCGGCCCTTACCTGGCGCGGTGCGTCCCGGCGGCGCGGCCCCGGCGGCGCCCGGCCCGGCGAGCGCGGGCGCAGGAATGGCGGCGGCGGCAGCGGCGGCGGCGGCCCGGCTCGGAGGGCGGCGCGGCC